ATGTTAGTAACTGCTGACTATTTGCTCTAATCAAGAATACTATGAAATGGCTGGGCTCAGTGGCTCATACCTGCAATCCCAGCACTTTGAGAGGCCAAGGCAAGAAGATCCCTTGAGCTCAGGAGTTTAAGACCAGCCTGAGCAACAGCTGAGTGTTATGGGGGGGCACCTATAGTCCCAGCTACTTGCAAGGCTGAGGCAGAAGGATCATCTGAGACCAGGAGTCTGAGGTGGTTGTGAGCTAGGCTGATACCCTGGCAACAGAGTGAGATGCTATCTTTAAAAAAAAAAAAAAAAGTAGTAGGAAATGCAATATTATGTTATGGCACCCCCTTCTGGTAACACAGCTAAAATACTCTATCCCCTTAGGATTTGAACATATTATTGTAATAAAAATACTGTTTAGTAATTACAACAATAAAGTGCATGAGGGAAGGAAAAAGAGAGGGGTGAAGAATGATGTCACCTACTCTACCAGACCTACACAGCAGCTCCACAGATGTTTACAATGCTTAGGCACCATGCTCAGCCGCTTAATCAGCATTTTACTGAGTGTCTAACGCAGGCTGGTAGGATGTAGAGTCGACTAGGCTGGGCGTTGCCCTGAAGCTGCTTACCGTGAACTGTCAGCCTTGAAAAGAGGCACGAATGGGGAGCTACAGGACCACAGATGGACGAATCTGAATCAGACTGGGTGATGTGAGAAGGCTTTCTCTAGGCAGTGCTCAGAAAGCAGAGATTCTGAAGAGGCCAAGTTAACTAACTAGCCAAGCACTGGGAAGGGAGATGTTAGGAAAAGGAGGGGCATCAACAGAGCTGAGGTAATCACCTACGTTTAGGGGAAAGGGGCTCGGGGTGAAGCATCTGGGTCAGACAGCAGCAGCAAAGGTAAACCTAAGGCCAATCACGCAAGTGCTAGGTGTTAAATTAGGTAGTTCAAATAGACCCTGAAAAGCTATAGGGATACAATCAATGATTTTAAGCAACTGTCAAGATTTGATCTATATTTTAGAGACATTTTTCTATGGTTTTCCTTTAGGTTACCCTGAACAAATATCTACTATGCATTAGACATATTTTTTTTTTTTTGGAGACAGTGTCTCACTTTGTTGCCCTTAATAGAGTGCCGTAGCGTCATAGCTCACACCAACCTCAAACTCATGGGCTCAAGCCCAAACTCTTGCCTCAGCTTCCTGAGTAACTGGGACTATAGGTGTCCACCATAACACCCAGCTATTTTTAGAGATGGGGGTGGGAGATCTCACTCTTGCTCAGGGTGGTCTCGAACCCGTGAGCTCACACAAACCACCTGCCTTGGCATCCCAGAGCGCTGAGATTACAGATGTGAGCTACCATGCCCATCTTCTAAACAGATGATGAAGTAACTTGAAAACAAAACTAAACAAAGCTAAACACAAATTTGAAAGCACACAGGAAAGTTGTAGAAGTGACGTCAAACTGTTCCCACTCACCTTTTAAATTCATCGTGGTAGAATTCTGACTTGCAGGTCACCATCTCATTACTACTCCCACCCTGGATATCCTCACGACTTCTGACTCCCCCAAACACGTACAACTCCATGGCAACTCCACACGCCACTGCTCCAAACCTGGAAGGCCACACATAGCAGGTCAGTTGTACTGAATTTACAACTCGAGAACTGGTTCCTAATTCCTCATTTTAACTGTTTAACATACAGTTTCATAAATATATGGGCCTTTCTTTTTTATTTTTTTGGCAGGGGCTGGGTTTGACCAGCCACCTCTGGCATATAGGGCTGGCGCCCTACTCTTTTGAGCCATAGGCGCCGCCTGGGCCTTTCTTTTTTAAGAAATATCAAGTCAAATAAAAGGTTACTATGAAAGAAATGAGAAACAAAAGCCAGGGTGAAAGGCTTCAGACCCAGGGAACAGTAAGGGGCCCGCAAAGTCAGTATCCGTGGTCACGTACCTCCTCTCTTTCAGTGGGCAGATAGCAGTCCACTGCTGGGTCCTTGGGTCATAACACTCCACTGACTCAAAGAGCTTGCCGTACGATCCCCCACCCATGGCGTAGATTTTCTTCTTCATAGCTGCATAGCAGCCAATCTGAAGGAGGAAGCAATGGGGAAAGGCGACGCTTATTACTAAGGTAAGGGAAACAAGTGCTAACCTGTCCTGAGAACACTTTAAGACTTGTTTTCTAACAGACAGTGGTGCTTTCAGTATTACAACGCAGGACTTTAACAAAATAAGAAAAGCAGGTAATAGAAATATACACATTGCTCACCCTCAGGAAAGGAGCCCTTACTTCAATACCATTTCACTCAGTGACATAAGAATCCTAATGTTTAAAAGAGCTTTTCAGCCATCCTACTCTTTCACCATTATTTGAAGATTCCAAGATTTAGATTCCATGGAATAAGATGCCTCTCAATTCCAGTCCAGAATAATGTAGCTGAAAGGGCACACACTGGGGAAGGACATTTGTAGGCAAAGATGTAAAGTGCCCACAGCACTGGACAAAGTGCTGGCTTGATGGAGAACTCTCTGCCTACAACAGGGAGTGTAAATACAGATGAAGACAAGGCTTTGAACATCCGAGGTGAGCTGTTTGCTTTCACCCCAGCCATTCAGTAAGCAATGGTAGGTCTTTACCTACAGACTCACGTTTCTCCCCCAATCCATCATGATGTGTATGACAATTGGCTGGGAAGCTATGGCTGCCCCCTGGTTAACGTGTTCACAAAGCATCTCTCAAGCCCAGCCCAGGGCACAAGACAGTGCCCCACACAGTGCCCCACCCTGAGGGCAGACCCTCTCGCACACTCACGTTCCTATCTTGAGGGGTGTGTGTGTGGCTCATAACAGTGCAAAGAAGCTACCAATAAAGATGAAATTCTCTAGTGTTAATTCTTCTAACACTATCAGTTGAATTAAAGCCATATTCAGGAAATGAAGAAACACTAACTTTAAAATCCAATTTGTACACAAACCAGTTATCACAAAATGAAGTTTTTACCTTTCTAACCATGGTCAAATCAGGTTGCTTTGTCCAGGTTTTAGAATAAATATCATAACACTCCATGGAGATCAGCTCCTTCTCACCATCCTCTCCTCCCAAAATGTACAACATTCCATCTATCTCCACAATCCCGAAGTTATGTCTTGCCTGAAAAGACATCAAAGATCTTTGAACAAAAAAGGTCAATTACCTTTTTGAAAGCTAGTACCACATTCAAATCCAGTTCTTCTAATAAAGCTTCTTAAATATTTCTTGTTTCCCTAGCAGCTCACCCTTCTAGAACCCATAGCTAGTAATTTCTCAGAACAAAGTTATAAAATATGTGATGAATTCACCAGCAGAATCTTTACCTTTTAACCCACAATAGCTCACTATGAGAAAAAGAACCTTCTGGTTTAGTAAAATTATTTTTATGCAGTAATGGGTATGAAACCACAGCAGTATGAAGCAGCCGTAGCAGGAGAGGCCACAGGAGGGCTGAGGCGGGCTCAGGCTATCTAGAATTACAGAAGCCCTATACTCAATCACTGGCAGACACTTGCGTGGTGGCCCCTACACGCCCAGCACTATCTGGCACCCAAAATACAACACTGACCAGAGCAGACAGAATCTCCGCCATCAAAGAGCTTGTGATAAAAAACTGCCTAGTCTGTGAGAAGGTGAGATGTGGCCTGAGGAGAAGGGGATGGGGCAGCTGAAGGAGAGGAGGCAGGCCCTGCTGAGAAGGTGCTGCAGGAACAGACCCTCAGGGAGGTGAGGGAACAAGCTGCTCAGGCAGCTGGGGGAAGAAGCTCTGGAAGGGGAGAGCAAATGCAAAGGCCCCCCAGAGCATTCCCAGAAGGTGTAAGAAGAGGCAAGAGGAGGAGGAAGGGGGCAGGAAGGGCAGGTTGGAGTGCAGCAGGCCAGGGCGTGGCAGGACTGTGGCTTCTGCTCCTGCACTTTAGCACAAAACAAACTAAAGTGCAACCCATAAATAAAACCAGGCTCTCACCTCATTCATGGGTGGCAAGGCAGTCCACGTGTTTGCGTCTGGATCATACTTTTCTCCCGAGCTCAGTGTCTGCTTATTTTCATCTTGGCCTCCAAACACAAACAAAAATCCTTCTGAAAAATCAAAGGAGACACATAAGAAATGGGAAATGTTAAGTCTTCAACACCAATAAATGTGGTAAAGTGGAGAGACAGCACCTGGAAAAACCTCTGACAGCAACAGTCTTCCCTCTGGATTCAGGACTGTCCTGAGATCATGTTTGATCCCTAATGGTAAAGCCAAATTTTGACCATTTTGCTTCAGTCCTTAGTATCTCTGAGTAGATTCCCACTACCCTGCAGTGTAAAAGGAAGACAGGAAGACTGACACCACCCACTCAGTCGCCTGGCAGCTCCGGGTCGCCTCAGTTCATCTATTCCCCAGCCTCTGTGATTCTCATACAACTTCTGAACCACAGCCCACATCTGCTCATTCAAGATCTTGAAAAACTCAGATCTGAAGCACTTGCAAACACTTTATATTCAAAATCAGATCCAAGAGTAGTTGATGAACTTCCTAATTCAGGGAATTGCTATAATTAGGTTATTCTTTTGTAAAAAAATACCTAAACTGCTGGATAAAACATTTAAAAAAAATCTCAGAAGAGGTGATATCAAGAAGACAAAGCAAAACTGAAGGGAAAAGCAGGACCTAAAAGAGGATGCCAAGCACAGGAACCTCAAATGCTCCAAGGGCATCTGCTCACCTGGAAAAATTTTAACCTTTTGTCCTGGGAATAATAAAGGCAGAAACCTAAGCTCCAGGCCTAAAGAAGGTGTGGCTTCTGGCAGGATATCCTGAACAAAGATGTATACCACCAAGATGAAGGCCATTTAGAATTACTATTCAGATTTAAACTTCCCTGTATAGAAAATCTCAACCCTTGAATTTGCTTTTTTGTTTGTTTGTTTTTTTAACATCCTTCCCTACTTGATAAAATAACTGAACCAAAAAAATTATAGAAGACTTAGGTAAATTCAATTTACCAAATTAGTAGTGTTTTTCAAGCAACTGGCACAAACAAATACAAAACGTCTGTAGAAGAAAGTATCTTCATCTAAGCCTTAAATTTTAACATTCTAAGGCTTTAAGGCATCAAGTTATTTCTACAAATAATTCGTTTGTTGAGATAGAGTCTCAATCTATTGCTCCAGGTTACAACTGTTGTGGCCCAATCATAACTTGCTGTGGCCTCAAACTCCCCAGGCTCAAGCGATCCTCCTCCCTCAGCCTCCCCAATAGTGGGGACTATAGGCACCTGCACTGTGCCTTGCTAGTTTTTCTACTACAGTCTCAAAAAGGGCTAACTATTCTTCTCCTAACCACAGTCTTAAAAATTAGACCTACACTAAAATGTCATTATGTAGAGATAATAAAATTTTATCTCCAAAAGGTTTTGAGTCATTCTGCATAACCTTGAAATTACATATTACTTGATACTGTGTTGAAGTAAAATTTGCCACAGAATGGGTACCTGCAGAGAGAACCCCGTGGTTGATTCTCGGCATGCTCAATGGGGCCAGTTCGATCCAAAGCTGCCTGTTGGGGTCATAGAGAGGGCACATGCACCGCATTGCTGCTGTCGGCTTCCGGGAACTAAGGGAATAAATAATTGATCAGCAGTTAATGTGCTTTATATAGTTCTGCTTATACATAACTGTTACTATTATAGTTTGAGCACTAGAGAACGTTTGAAACGTTAAAAAAAAGCCCCAATTGTTATCACGCTTTAGATTCTGAAAATTGGGAATTCTCGTACACGGCACTCCCTCTCACCCACGCTTACACTCTTTCTTCTCCACCAACAGTCACGATGCATTCTGAGTAGCCCCGGGGTTTGAAGTTGGCCAACATTGCCTCTCCTTGCTGAGGCTGGCTGAGTGGTATGTTGCTACACTCTTTGACAATTTCTCGTACTAATGGTTCATTCAGCATCTGTTCCCGTAAATAACTGGAGTCCAACCCTGAGACCCACAGAGCTGACATAACATCCTTCATGTGGACCTGCGGGAGAGGGAAGAAAGGATGGGAAGAAAAATGAAAAATGCAACATATGGTTTCTAGAATATATTGTACATGTGCCATCTCATGGAAAGCAGACCATTAACAGATTACTAACAGGCAAGGCGGATGCGCTCCTACTGCTGGGGTATGCCTCACTGGCCCCGGCCCTTTCTACTTCCTACAGTCTCGACAAGTAAATTTAATTTTTAAAAACCAATGGTCTACATTTTATTGATGTATCACTGCCAGGTTTCAAGCAGCTCTCTTTACACCTTAAAGGTTCCCATTCTGATCGGAAAAGTGAGGGGGGAAGTCTATAATTTGCTTTATTTCACACATTTGGATGTGTTGTGAGCTAATTGTGTTTACAGAATTATATGCAGTAATAGCTCAATACAGTATGGTAAACCATATAAATATCAACATTAATACTATAAGGAAAATATGCAAAAGCCAAAGTTAAATCCTGTATAAGTACATAATCATTTCAGCAGTAATTACTCTGAAAATATCTAACATTGCGTAATACAAATTATTTAAACATCCTGCTCTATCATTAAATTTTAACCAATTGACTAGAATATTCTAAATAGGTAATATGGAACATCTTCATTCACTAGTTGGTATATTCAGGAGGTTACTCGTGGTTTGGAATCATCATTTAAGAGTATACTCTTCTATATCCTAAGTTTTAACAGTCAATAGTCCTTACAGCCAAAGGACAAATAGTGCCTTGTCTCCTCAGTGGCCAGGTGCCCTAAGCGCCCTAAGGACAGAGGAGCTAAGGCAGAGGCCAGCTGGGAGTTTCCTCCAGCAGTCTCAGTGAACAGAAACAAACTAGAAATTTTGCTATCTCCTTTCCTAATTTACCAAGTACCATGGAAAGCAGAACACTACCCATCCTAAGACTAAGGCTCCACATCTGGTTTCTCAATGTACAGACTTATAGGCTTACAGAATTCAAAAAACTATAAGATAATCACTAGCACTTACATTAACAGTTACCAAGAATTAGTGCAACCACACATTTTGAAATCCACTCCCTAAATCCTAATATACTTACTTTAAAAATCAGTAATTGGGCTTGGTGCCTGTAGCTCAGTGGGAACGGCACCAGCCACATATACCAAAGGCAGCGGGTTCAAACCCCACGCAGGCCAGCTAAGCAACAATGACAACTACAACAAAAAAAAGCCAAGTGTTGTGATGGGCGCCTGTAGTCCCAGCTACTTGGGAGGCTGAAGCCAGCAAATCGCTTAAGCCCAAGAGTTTGCAGTTGCTGTGAGCTGTACTCTACTGAAGGCCACATACTCTTGAGTGTCTTCTGTCTAAATAAAAACCAAACAAATAGGGTGGCACCTGTGGCTCAAAAGAGTAGGGCGCCAGCCCCATATTGGTGGGTTCAAACCCAGCCCTGGCCAACCTATGGCTCAAAGGAGTAAGGCGCCAGCCCCAAATGCCGGAGGTGGTGGGTTCAAACCCAGCCCTGACCAAAAAAAAAACCAACAAAAAACAGTAATTGGGGCTACTGTCTTATTTATAAAGATCAGACTTAAAAATGAAGTCCCATGATTTTGTTCCCTCCCCTATTGTAGTCACAGTAGTCAAGTTTGGATCTGAAGGATGACATTCTCTAGGACCTTCTTTCCCAGGCTGTCACTCCCAGGACCTTCCCTCCTGGAGCTCCACACAGGCCAGAGCCCACCTGCTCTCTTCTGCATCCTGTCAATCACAGGGACGCTCCCCACCCTTTGCCACGGCTCTACAAGCACTGGAGTCCCCAGGGTGGGGTTTGGTCTGATGACAATGCAGCAGCCCAGGCTCCCTAAAGCAAGAGTGGGGGTACTGGGCTTCTATAATCTCCAGCAAAGCCTGAAATGCATTTTCCCATTAAAAACAACATACAAAGGCTATTATATTCCTACTCCATCTTGTTTTTGTCTAATAAACAAAAAAAGCCATTATGTTCCTCGTAAGTGCTACTATTTTTGACATATGACATGGGTCTCTGTAGACAGGTCTAAAAAACTAACCACTTTCATGATACATGAGAAATTTTTCAATTGGTATCTTTTACATCACAAATGTGTAAGTCTTTCATGTTAACAGAGAGAGATAAAACAACTACAATTTGAATTAAAGATGAAAAAATTCAAAAGGCAGCATTAGACCAAGGTACCTTTCTTATTTCTGTATCATGTGCTATCCATCGAATTACTGCTTCAAATACGTATTTTTCATTGCCAACGTTTAACTTCTCCAAAGAAATCACTTCTTTAAGCTTTTGAGGACTCAGTTCTAGGAATTCTTCAGTGCTGCTGACATCTCGGAAATGCGTCTCCAAGTACTCGGTGGCGAGGTAATGAACGTGGTGCAGGCAGTAATGCAGTGCAAAGTCTCGGATGCCGATGCAGTTCTCCGCAGCAATACAGCCCTCCAAAAACTCACAACACAGGGTTTTAAGGTCCGTCAGTAGAAGCAGGTCTGCTGCCTGTACCACGTCTTGGATTGTATCTTCATTCAGCCTGATCTGGAAGAGAATCGTAAATATTTTATATTTGAATGTATAAGTTTAACACCCAAACCTCTAATTAGGCTGAGTCACGTGAAGTTTCCTTTTCCTGTTACAACCAAGATGATCAAATATTGGCAATTTTATATGGTTCAACCTAGCACTTGTTTTGTAAGAGTTTGAGAGGTTGGGTATGGTGGCTCATGCCTATAATCCCAGCACTCTGGGAGGCTGAGGTGGGTGAATTGCTTGAACTCAGTAGTTTGAGACCAGACTGAGCAAAAGTGAAACCCCACCTCTACTAAAAAGAGAAAAACTAGCTAGGCATTGTGGTGGGGACCTGTAGTCCCAGCTTCTCAGGAGGGTAAGGCAAGAGAATCGCTTGAGCCCAGGAGTTTGAGGCTGCTGTGAGCTATGACAGCATAGCACTCTAACCCAGGATGAC